CCTATCCTCACCCCTCATCATCGGCGTGAACATCTACAGTTTGCCCTACAACACCAAAACTGGAGATACAGGCAATGGAGAACTGTTCTGTTTACAGATGAGAGTCGGTACTGCGTGTCAACTGCAGATGGCAGAACAAGAATATGGCGACGACGTGGCCAGCGTTACTCAGACCAATGTGATGGAATGAGACTCATGGGGAGGTGCAAGCATCATGGGGTGGAATAGGCCTGAACCAGAGAGTGGGTCCTGTGGTGTTCGAGAACCTTGGTCCAGGGAGAGGAGGCATCACAGCGGTGCGCTACATCGACCAAGCTCTCAGACCCCACGTCATACCACATTTTGCACGTCACCGGAACAACATTTTCCAGCATGATAATGCCCAGGCCCATACTGCCAGAGCTACACGGGACTTCCTACCGGAGAACGGTGTCAACATTATGCAGTGCCCAGCCCTTAGTCCTGATTTAAACCCAATTGAACATCTTTGGGATGAAATTCAGAGGAGACTGAATAATGTCATACCAAGGCCGAACACAGCCGATGTATTGTGCCAGGCCTTTCTCAGAGTGTGGTTCCAGGTGCCAATGGCCTTCATCAATCGATTGGTGCACTCTATGCATAACACGGTGCTGCAGTTATTGCCGCTCGTTGTGGTCACACTAGATACTGAAGTCAAGAGTCTGAATGGACTGCAAACATTCACGTAATGTCTTGAAATTGTGCTGATTTATTCATTGATGTGTCAAGATATTGTGCACAAAAATTGTTTTTGATCCGCTTATTATGTCCATTTCTATAATGATTTGATTACAGTGCCTATCTAATTTTGAATTCATACTCACGGGGTTTTTGCTGCTGAGTATATATATCCCCCTCATACTCCCTATCATTCACCTGATGAAGGAGTAAACATACACTCCGAAACTTCGTGTTATTCACAATAAAGAAGTTATCATCCATAAATCTTGCTTTTCTTATACATTTAACAGGTATAAACACACCTACATGAAATAATATACTGAACAAAAATGGAAACTTCACTCCTGGAGAAATAAAATTATATTGAAAATGGTAAGTACGAGGTAGTTAATATGGGTCATTTCCATAATGGCCTGGTCTAACCTGATGTATTTGTCCATTTCAACTGTGATGAAACACACAGGGTGCAAGCAGCACACTCTTTTTTGTGTGCAGGATCACGTAACTGCCCAGACCATGCCAATGTTCAATGTCCTTATGTTGAGACAGTTCTAACACAGGTAAAACATAATGAAAAGCACAATTGCACTGCAAAACTTTCTGCAAAATCAGGGTATTGGCGTCATGAAGTGGCCATCAAGATCACCTGTCCTCCATCCCATTGAACATGTGAGGGATGCTCTTGTAAGAAGTCTTTGCGCCTCAAGACGTCAACCCCAGCATGTTCAAGAGCTGAGTGTCATGTTGGTACAGCCATGGCACAGGTTGCTTGATGCTGTTTCCACGGGGGTTAGGCAGTCAATGAGACAACATTGCCTTGCTGTTGTGAATGCAAGAATGGGTCATGCGTGGTACTGAACAAGATCCAATAGAGATGTCACACTCACTTTGTTCTATATGGGTACGTTTGGGACATGAAGTAACACATGTGAAGTTTTTTTTATTTGTTTAATATCGTAACATGGTAATATGGTTAGTGATCACATCCCTCTGATGGTCTTACTTATTTTCACATTCTTAAAACTTATCCTATCTCACAGTTAGTACTCGCTCTCTCATGATCGACAGCTGAGTGGAAAAGAACTGCAAAGAAAGTTTTGGCCTCCCTTGTACCATTCGCTCAAACACGCCACACTGCCTCCTTTCCTGGACATCATGAAGCCTCTATGAAGCATGCAGCATGCCCTCAATCAAGTGACTCCTTTGTCTGATCATTCTCTTTCTTGTCGCTCTACTGTGCAGACGTAGTGTAATTGAAGTGAATTTCATTGAATCCTTCTACAACCATGGGAAAGGATAATTCTTCGTCTTGGAAGAGGAAAACTTTTCCAAGGCCGATCCTCACCCGTCATGCATTGACTGCATTTGCCTGTGTGCCTGGACTTCCAGATGTTGCTATTGTCAGGATCTGGACAATGATAATTTCTCCATCTATAGAAAGACAGGGACCTGTCGTCTCGAGGACCGAGACTGTCTTGAAATATATCCAATGAACATGGTCCTTCTGCTTCTAAAAAGTCTGAGAAAGACATGCATGTGTTTCACACACCCAGGAGATACGTCCCCGGTGATTGTCAAACCTACTGTTTGACAAACCCTCCAGATACAGTGATAACCACATTACCTTCACCAGAAATCTCCAAACGATTTTCAGCTATATATATGTTGGTCTAACCCACAGGATCAGACTCCTTCTGCTTCATGAAGGTACGTATTTCAACGCTTCAACTGCCTGACTTCGCTTCTGACTCAACCTTCAGGTTCAGCAAGCTTTGATGGTATGGTGATCTCTATAGGATCAACAAACCTCCCACATGCCACGAAACTTCCACATTCGACAAACGTACCACTTTCGGCGAACCTTCAACATTCGGCGAAGCTCCCATATGTGGCGAACCTTCAACATTCAGCAAATTTCCCATATGCATCACACTTCAACACTTAGCGAATCTCAGATATGCAACGAACCCTCAACATTCGGTGAATCTCACATATGCGACGAAACCCTCAGCATTCAGCGAATCTCCCATATTTGACATACCTGTCACATTTGACGAACCTCTCACATTCGGCGATCCCTACTCATTCGGCACTCTCAACTCATTTGGCTAACCTCCTTGATGCTACAACCTCACGGGAAGGCTTACATCCGATGCAGGCACCAAATTCATCGCATCTTATTCTACCTGTTTCCTGGGACACCACAGCCAAATTTGGATTATGATTTGATGGTCCAGGCTCTGGCTCTTGCTTGGAAGCAAGTACATGCAGAGACGTCTACAGAAACTCAATCTCTGGTTTTGCCCCAAACCCTCTAATTGCTTCAGACCCCTTCACCTCCCCCCACATACTTGGGGGATCTCTCCAGCCCGGAAGGCAGCATTGACTATGTTGACCTGTCTCACATACTTGCTTGGATCAATGATAATCTAAAGTTATCTAAGACCAATCATCGGAGGATTTATTCTCAATGTTCTGTATGAATGACTGCAGTCCATCTACCATTACGTTTCCACCTTGACCATGCTTAACTCAGATGGCTGCATCTCTGGACACCGCGTTTAAGTTGTTGAAACAGATTAAAGATGGTATTTTCATGCCTAAGTTCTCCTTACGAGATGTTCCTGTGCATGGTTTTGCTCAGCTGATTGCCTCTCAACCACTCGACGATGATGTGTCTTCTGTGTGTCTGAAGAACCATACTCCATTTCTTATTCAGGACCGTGAATTGATGCATCTTGACATGGGCATTCGCTACATGCTACCATCTCTCAATGTGATCTTGTCAACTACTGAGGCAGTAGCCATGTCCATCTCGCACGCTGCTGACCACCATCAAGCATACCTTCATGGGGCCACTGATTCATCAACATTTCCAGACGGTGTTAGTTCAAGTTACACACTTCCTGGGCTACCTTTCCGCTATTCATACCACCGATCCTGGGAAGACCGTTACAAAGTTGAACTTTTTCGGCAGCCTGGTAACCTTGGCTACCACTGCTCATATGTCAGAACTCCATGCATTGGATGTGAACCAAGTACGGTTCGAGAAGAAGAAACACAGAGTTTGTCTTGGCCTTCGCTGGGTTTATATAGCAAAGAATCAACTGCCAGGACAACCAGACAGGCTATTTACTATCCCACCATTGTCCACCATACTTGGGCCAGATGACACTGAAGACCTTTCTCTTTGCCCAGTTAGAGCCTTGAGAATATGCATTGCTGCTTCACAAGATCATCGCAGACTGCGCAAGCATCTTTTCATCCAACTATCTACAGCCTCTTCAGCAGAAGTCTCTCGTACTACCTCAGCCTTTTTTATGCAGTCGACTATCCTACAGGCCCATGCTTTTGCTTTCGATTATGGAAGTTCATGTTACCTTGTTCTCACCTAGTTGTACACTAGGGTGTTGTAGTACAGTCATCTTTTAACGAACTTCATCATAGACTGAGAGGACACTCATGCTTACTGACCTCTACTCTCATGAGTAATCACGTCAGTGAAATGTGAATAGCAAATTCCAGTGGATTTTGATGCGTTCAGCTCCTCGTTGCCATTCACATCCTGACTAGCTTATGCTAAGGAGCAAGGGTCATGCGATGTCATTCAGAACTGAACGTTAAAACAGTTGAGTTAACTGGGCCATGTTCTTTTTAGTGAACTGGGATATGGTTTTCAAAGCAGGGATTGTTCAGATTAGGGTCACAAGTCTAAAATTCTGTGGCAGATTCTGGTGAAATGGGGCAAGACATGGAAGCCTGTTGTGGTTCCGTCCTTTTGTCTTGAAAACCACATTTACTCAGGAGCGCCCACTCCCTGGGAGTTTTTGTGCTGAGTACGCTGAGGGGTTTTGGAAGAAGCATCCCATCACAATTATACGAGTTATGTAGTCAAGCACACAATTTTGATCGGCTGTGATCTACTCACACAGACACTTGGTAATCTGTGGCCCACCGTCCAACCGTGGGATAATTACTAACCATGAGATAGGATAAGTTTTTAAAATTTGAAAATTTTAACTATAAATTGTACATTTATAAATACTTATCCTATCTCACGCAATTGATTATCGACTGACCGACTGACCGGATCCACCACACAGATTACTTTACAGGTTATTGCTAATGCTCCAAGTAGAGAATGATCAGACAAAGGAATCACATGATCAACCGGAGGGCATGCTTTGTTTGTTTGCAGTTCATTTCCACTCAGCTGTTGATCATGATAGAGAGAGTACTAAGATAGGATAAGTATTTATAAGTGTACAATTTATAATTCAAATTTTCAATTTTGTTAGGTGACTTCATCTCTTCAGATGACATGGAAAAGACTCAGAAACTGATCAAGTATATGGAGTATGCCTCACGACATAGGCAAATGTTTGATGAGGTGAGTGGAATGTACTGTTGGCAATACTCCTTCTTGAACTTCAGAGGTAATAGCTGAAGATGATACACTATGAATGAAATGGTAGATCCATATTTCAATACATGAGTGAGTATTAGCATTCTCAATACATGTGTAGAGGTGCAGATTGACCAATGCTTTGTTGTAGCAGGAGGACTCATTTTCTTGCAGAATAATGTTACAGCTACACAGCTGTCATAGGTCACAAAACACCCCTGATCGTTACAACAGCGAGGCCAAGATCCTTGGCAACCGCGTTGATTTCTGGACTGCGCTTGATCATTGGTAGTTTTTTTATTTCGTCCCACTGTTGGTAGGCCCTCATCCCTTGACTAGAGAGTTGATTGGACACGCCCTTGATGATCACTTCCACTTTCGTGATCTCGGGATTCCAATACTTTTCGCTTTCTCTTTGAAACGGTGTAAATACTTCTTCCAAAATTATCAAACTACCCTCCATCGATTGAGCAGGCGTGTTCAGATTGATATTCCACAGCATATCACTTTTATCCCTGGTGATCTTCCGATGGTGCAGTACGCTATCATACAAGATGGATAACATTCCCGAATACTGTTGCAAATTTGTCTGGCCAATACTGTATTCATGACTATATCGAACTCAAACAAAATAGGGTCGGTGGGGTAGCATAATGGTTAACTCATTAAGCCCGAGAGCCCCATCACTACTCAACACCTGGAAGCCCTCGCTGATTGCCCACTCTCTGTGCTGAGACTAATTAGTGCTAGTCACACCTGATTTCCCTGGCAGGTTTCGGGGATCACAGGAAACTGTCTAGTCGTACAAACAAGTCCTGATTGTTTAATTGTGTCGTAAAGATATATGTTGAAAGAAATCAGGTGTGAATACATGTCGTGTATTGCAAGCTATATGTAATTTTATTGCAAGTTTCTCTTGTAGACCTTTTGTCGGCTTGTACATTTATATTTTATCACAATATGCATACACATGTATTCTTTGTATGTAACAGCTGAGACACACGTTAACAAATTCTCTCTCTTATATCATTGTGTGAGGTTTAAATTTACAAAACATCTATGACAATGACATACTGTAAAGAAGAATTTACTTTCATACTTTATAATCTTCGACAAAAATAGCGGTTTTGCCGATACATTTCTAGTGTTTACGAATTATTTTAATGAAAGTACTATAACGCTAGTCTGTGACTAGCACAAAGCACATTCATAGCATTGCACTTTATTTCATACAGATTTAATGCAGAAAACATACTTGACCATACAAACATACATATCCAAAATGTATACTACATATTCCTTGCATAGACATAAAACAAAGAGTCACGTGATAGGGGGCCATCAAATTTCCGAATAGAACATTCGTATCTCAACTGTTCAATGTAGTGGCTGGTCATAAGTTATCTCAATCAGCATGAGATACCAAGAGGAAAGGACAGGTGATCATGAGATACCTGTCACAGAGGAAAGGACATGCTGGGTGATATCATGGTAAACATACACACTGGTATCTCAACTGTTCAGTAAAGTTTCTGAAGAGCACGTTTGGTCACTCAGCAGCTTGGATAGAGATTGATAGTTATTGGCTATATCGTTGACCAGTCGATATGCTGGGTTTCGCTTTATCAACTCAAGCTATCATGTAACAGTTTGTGTATTGTAAACATACACACTGGTAACGATGTATGAAATATACACATAAGACAAATAGGAGTAGATAGTCACTTTGGCGAGTTTATTTGTCCTCATTTTAGTGTTTTTCGATAAGTGAAACAAAGCGATTGAAATCCAACCACTGAGTAGAGGTAGTATTTATTTTCATATACATTTTATGCACACAACTAGTACATAAAACATAATGGTTTGCTGTACATGTAAATGTAATCTTCACCTTGATACGAATGAATATCCAAACTAGAGTACACGATTACAGAATTCACGAGGTGACACTATACTGAATTATTATAGTGTATAAACTTGCAGAAGTTGACACCCCACCCCCAATATTTATGAAGGTGGGCGTGCCTATATCTTGACTGAATGCAAACGAGGTTCATAAGATTACAGAGGTGCATGCATGTATAAACATCATCACAGAGGGGCTTGACTCCATAAAGCAAGATGTCCAATGATATAACAGCGCATCTGTTTATTTTACACTTGTCATGGGACAAACCTTTCAACAAGGACATAACTACATATGCATTCTACCGGAGGCTGTTATTTCAAGGTCGAAAGAGGCGTTCAATTATCTCATTACTGTAATCTGCTTGAATGATTATACGCATGTGTATCGATACCGTAACTGATATACTATCCAGCTTTTATTGACGATGGATCAATAGGGACTGAGTTGATTGATACATGTGATAATTGCACCGGATTTGATAATTACACAGATCAAATACAAACGTTTTATAGAATGCTCATGTGAATTGCATAGAAAACTGACAATTCAAATCAACATGAAACTTTCAACAGCTTGAACAAAAATGCTTGAAATACCTGTGTATGGCTTACATGTAATAACTTATGATATTACTTCTGTCCATGTGTGACAATGTTTTGAATTACCAACTTACTGTCTTTTGTAACAAACATAGTAAAACATTTCATTGTTGTAATAACACTGACATGTATATATGTATTCGATGCAAAGGCTGACTTATCACTTTATATTCGCTTAGGTAACATTATTTAACTTTAGATTATGGAAAACAACTAGTTACAATTCAGTAAACTTCAAATTAGTAAGTTCAATTATGTTTAATCTATTCGAGCTTGGATGTATAATTACTTGTGTTTATACATTATGTTTCAGTATATGAAACATGACAACGTAATGATGCCTAAAAAGTAAATTCAAACTATTCTATTGTGTTTGAATTCTTTGTATGTCCTTGAAATTTCGTATATTGTTTCCTATTTATTAGGTAGTTAAAGGAAATATAATTTTTAGTAACCTCTAAACCATTACATCTAATTCAATCAAGGTGCATACGAAGTATTTTAGTATCCATTCCCAAGGAAGAGTACCAGGAACTTACCTCTGTAAAACATCATAATCCCCTTTCTCACCGACATGCGTTCATTTGCTAAGCGCTGTACAAGCCTATGATAATGATTAGCAATTGTTATCAAAACACTTTAAATACTTCTTCTGATTGATACTAAAGGTGGGATCTCTCGTAAGAAAAGCTAACATTTGCTCAGTACTGCTAAATTGGTTGAAATAATAGGTACAGTGCGATTTTTAAAAGTACAACACACATGTGCGTCTCTCGCTGAATAAGAGTTGCTTTCTGTTGACGACTGTATGTGGTCCATATATGCGTCTCTCGGCCTTAATGAGTTAAAGCGTTGGCTCGTCACGCCGAAGACCCGGGTTCGAATCCCCACATGAGCACAATGTGTGAAACCCATTTCTGGTGTCCCCCCGCCGTGATATTGCTGGAATATTGCTAAAAGCGGCGTAAAACCAAACTCAGTCAGTCAGTCAGTCAAACGAAATATTATCGATGGTATATCTACCTGTGTCTGCTCCTATACTCGACTTTGCCGTATTCTTTCAACGTGAGTTCGTATTCCAGTCTGTCACCCAGCACGGCTTAATAACATGGCATGTGTCCCTCGAGTAGTTCGAAGTCGAGTGGAATGTAAAATCCGAATGCTTTGGCTATAGCTTCATGTTCCGGTAAAATATTGTCGAGCTCGGCTGGTACAAAAGTATACCCCAAACGCCTCCTCATCGAAGGACAGCCTTTCAAACAAATACCTTATGATATTTCATGTTTTTCCTTTGTTTGTGGTTCTCCAGAGGTCCATGTAACTACAAAACAAATCGCTGTCGTCGATGCTCAGCACCTCATTACCAGTGATTTTAAGTGTTGTTTTCTTCATGATGGCTCGACCCAGTTTTGATACGACTTCTCGTTTATCGTCCGTGGACTCCAAACTAATTTGAAAACCCAGAGTCACTGTACCTGGGCCGATGACGTATTTCACGCCCATATTAGGAAAGCGAACCAACAGCGTTTGGTTTTCATCGATTGTGCTCGGATTATTTGTGATCGTCACGGATTGACAAATGGCTTTGACCCCAAAGGGTTCCCTCAATCTTCTGAAAGGGTTTTTTTTTGTCTGTATTGTGAGGACATTGTTTACATTGTATGTTTTTATCTGTTCAATATTAAAAACGATGAATGACGATATCCCAATGGACGATTTGCCAGGTCCTAACGATGAAGCCTCATTGATCAATGATGATACAGGGGAAACCTCATTCATGGGTGAAAGCATAGGCGATACCCTTTTAAAGGCGACCGTGTATGATTATTACAATACCATAGAGGAAAATGAACACCAAGCTCCTCTTTATCATAACTATTCTAAGTTTGCTATCAATAATAAAGGGATACTGCGACTGAAAGCCGCTCTGGACATTGAATTCATGAATTCCTGTACAAGAAAACACCTCGCCTTGTCTACACTGACCAATCGCCATGGCACCCAATTTATCTGCGACAAATTAGATATAGTCGGCTATCGACAAACTATGTCAGCGAAGGCTTTACAAACTGTGCAAACCAAGCTCTGTGCCAGGGCGGGTGCGCTGGATCAAGATGATTTGAGAGGTGTACCGCAACGCTCCAAGGAAGCTTCGAATGGACTCGGTGAAATATTGTCCACAATCAACGACACTCAATTAGACAAACCCAAACTGGAATTTACCATTCGGGAACTGCGAGGTCTAGACAAGGCCATGTGGAAAAAACAAACTCAACTAAGCGGAAGACGAGCTCAGAAGACATCGGATCACGGAAACATTACTGCACTTGGAAGACGAAAGATCAGCCCGATAAGAAGCGGCTTCTACCAATAGAGTAGCACTTCAACCCCAAATCAGTCCCATTCGCGAACACAATGACCGAGTCCTCCACGAAGACACCATGTTAGCTGATAAACGTTATTCCGAGAACAGGGTCACCATCGCCAGTATTGTAACTGCACTTGGGTTCATCATATTGACTTTAGTCATCTTTCTGACTGGTGGTGGTACTACCCTGTCTAGACCACCACCACCTTGCGACAAGAAAGGTGTCAAAGAATGGACAAAAATACATTTAAAGTCCCTGGAGCAAGCTCTCTCGCAAGACTGGCAGGGAAAGCCGCGGAAGCTCTTCCGGGTATCCTTGGTAGCATTGTTCCTGGTTGTTAGAATTCTTATAGAAAACACCCGTGTGGCTGAGTCAAAACTTTAGGGTGATCGTCGTTGCCATTTCCGGTATGTTGTATGTCACCGCTAAAGAATTTTTAACCATTTAAGGCACAACCCGACCACGATTCCACCGACCACGAGTGCTGTTTTACGATTGATGTGTTGCTGATTTTCGACAACTTCACATGGCGATGACAATGTTGTTATTATAACCTATCACTTTATTCACCCTAAGTTTCATGTCACTCGGGGCCATATACAACCCTATTCCAAAAACGTAGTCGACTTTCGAACTGGCATTTTCCAGTGTATTTTGATAGCGCTGCTCGATGGCTTTTGGGAGATTGACAGAGCTGTTGATGGCACCTTTGATGTTTGACACAAATTGATTCTGCGTGTCAAAAGCAGTCCCCTGACCTATAATACTGGAATGTGTTGGTGCCTGCACACAGAGAACAGCCCACAGGTATGTTCGAATCGTCCAATCTGATGACAATAGGATGAGAAAACCCTTTCGATGTATCTAACATCAGTTTTTTCCAATATACGAGTCCCTGTTGAAACCTCCAATCCTTACTATTATCAAAACCCACGTAAGCATTCACATATGTCTTACCACCCCATTCTTTCAGCTATTTGCTGGCTTCTAAAAGGGGCATATTGTGAATGATGGGAATGCCCAAACCATGATTCACGCCCGGCAAATGCCAATCTGTCTTCTGATCAATGTCAAATTCCCCACAAATATGTTTGTACACACGCCAATTCGCACGGATTATCTGATGCGTTCCACGCTTTGTCCTGTGGATTTGGTGCAGTTATTTCTTTTAGGATACACCTGGCCCCGATTTCTCGAAACAAACTTAAGTCTGACTTTGACTTAAGTTAGAGTTTTTACTCAAATTTGAGAAAACTCAGATTGACCTGAAATTAATATTACACTTAAACATAGTAGACAATTTGAGTTTGGTGGATAGATTACTTAAGTTGTTTGGGCTTTTTTATTTTCAAAATGCAGTTGAGTTAAAAATTCATCTGTTTCAATTGTCAAACTCAGTTTGAAGTTTGAGTAAAAATTTAAGTTTGTTTCGAGAATTCGGGTGCTGATCTGGTAGTAAATGTGAAATAAGAACAAGGACTGATTCAGTAGATCATGACAAGAGTCGTTCAAATCCACGCTGCACCCCGTTATAGCACAGCATACAGCGAAGTTGACTTGATTTTGCAGGAATTGCATAGGATTTGATAACCAAGCATGTACAACTTTCACATTCATGACAGACAACCTATAATTTTTAAACATATCGATAGACCGAACTCGGAAATGGGAACCACCCACATCGACCACAATTGACAATTTCATCCTTACCGATGATAACCAATGGACATTGATCTCATCCAAAATTGACTGGCTACTCAATATCACACTCGTTTCTCCCTGTGTTTATAGAGAATAAGAATCATTATTTAACGAACGTCATAAATAATGGGAATCTAGTCGGGGCTTACATCGCATCACAAAGATGGAGTGTGATTGTGAGCACCATACCGAAAAAAACAGGTCTTATGATAGCGAGTCAACCGACCCTCCAAGGTACGAGTTTACAGTTGGTCGTTGCATTCGAAAAAGTATCAAATGTCTTACAAGAGATTCCATCCAATTCTACGCTTTATATCAAAGTCTTGCTTGGGGATGCATCACCAGACCAAGATATTGATATTGTAACAGGGGTAAAACTCCATTGGACTTGAAGACATCAATTGCACGTTTGCACGATTTCAATATGGAAAGAAATAAATTCTTACGTGAGTCTCGAGGGGGTCACAATAACATTAGATAGAACAATTGCGCTCACTAAGATTTTTTTACCTAATAATATACATCTCATAAGCTTAATGTTTAAGCACGAAAATTTGTCGGAAAACCATTTGAAGATAGACTCTTTCATAAACTAGTATTATCACGGTCGAAGCGTCTGGTTCCTGCAATGCAACGCCTGAGAAATTGCGCTACCATCGCGCTCTCTGATCTTCGGGACATGCTAGGATTCGATAAACCCGCTACGGAAAATGCATTATACACCTTGCAGTTACAAAGCAATGTTTACAGACAAAAAGAAGTTATACTAGGAGATTTAAAAGATGTCGAGACTGAGGAACTCTTAAAAAGCACATTGTACCATCTTGTACGCATCGACAATGACAAATGGATGATGATCTCATCACCAAAAATTGACTGGTTAATGAATATTACCCTTACCTACCCATACATGGTTGAAGATGATTTTGGTTATGTCACCGAACTGAAAAATTATGGGATTGTTTTCATATCTTCCACATGGATCACACAGGCTCTGTTAGCCCCACCACCAAAAGTGCACTATTAATGTTTGACATTGCTGAATACCACCATGATTTTTTAATCCTGATTCCAGTATAAAATTCCTCTCTGCACTTATTATTGAACTCCATCTTGGAAATGTCCCAGCAGAAGATGTGAAACTTTTGGGTGGGTTAACAATATGCTGGAGTAATGAACATAAACATCAACTTTGTCGTATTTATGTACAACCAGGAACAGTCCCCTTTACAAACCTCACGGGGTCTATGTTTATGCTCTAGGTGAACTGTATCCCATTTCAATCAAGCATATTTATTTATTTAAATATGTGAACCTAATCAGCCTTAAATATACTAATAAAATATTGTCGGAGAACCATTTGAAGGTTATTTCATAAGATATTTTATATCAAGATGGGATTGTACCCAGCCATGGATGAAGTGGCTCAAACATTGGAAACAGTGGATGGATTTGTTTGCGACATATAACCCATATCAAATATCAACTCGAACAGGAGCGTGATGTGTGAATCGAATTACCAAAAAAGTACCACAGAGCTGTGAATGCTATTGATGGCGTGGACACTGTGCTCATAGCAGCCAGCATGGGGCTCAGCGTGGCTGATGTCAGTTTATTGTTGACGACCATCGCCACACCGATTGTGCTGGCTGAGGAAATAGTGTCTGGAGTCTCGGGGTTAGCGGGAATAGCTCTTAAATTTATTTCACGCCAATTGCAAAAGAAGGCGCTGAAACGTGATAGCATTTACGTTCTGGTCGAAGCAAAGTTGTATACGATTGAGGATCGTATCTCCACGGAACTCTCCGGTAGTAAATTCTCCAATGAAGAGTTTCATTTAGTGCTGTCAGAACTCACCAAATACAATGTGATGAAACAAGAGATTCGAACCAAGTCTCGTAAAACCAATGGTATCGGTGAAGAAGTGAAAAAAAGTTTATAGCACAGGGGAAAGAACAAGCCCGTCAAGTACGCCTTACCAAAGCCAAAGAAATCATAGAAGATTATCGATGAATTGTTTCCTCGATGTCATTGTTTATTCATAATTTAAAAATAATAATGAATATATAAATTAAAAAAATATATAAATAAAAATATAAAAATATGAAAATTTAAATAAACACCCTCAGCAGGGGAAGTCCAGTGATGTCCCACACTCGGGGTGTTTGTTTTTAGAAGCTGATTGGAGCTTAATTGGCCAGAAATAACCCTATGAGTGGAAGTGATAAAAAAAAAACCTTCATCATACTACTCTTCTCAACAAAAATCATCCCATCCATGGATGATAATGCCCGAGAAAGAGTTGTTAACAATATTGTTTAGATCAACATCACACATATGGACTGGCCTGCAAGGTCACTTGATCTCAATCCCATTGAACGTGCTTGGGACATTATTGGAAGTCGTGTTTACGGTCTCCATCTTCACCCCCAGACTCTGGATGACCTTGAGCAAGCGTTTCAGAGAGAATAGCAGAACATTTCACAACAGCAACTTTAATGGCTCATTTGGTCAATGCAAAGACGTGTAGAAGCTTGCATTTGTGCTCATGGTGGTCATACAATTTACTAAACACTTCTTCACTGTCCACAACTGACTTGAACCTTAATGTTAACATTTTGCTCCATCAATGCAGCACATTTTGCACGACTGTTTCACAGGTACATGCTTTTGATGATTTGGTATTATTGCTCATTACCATTTCATTTCATTTTGTTAATCGTGTGTACACATGTTTCACCTTTCTATTGCATCATTCCATGATTTGCAATTTCAATAAATGAAAATGTAATGAGGCTACAAATTTGTGTTCCTTAACTTTTTGTGAGGAGTATATAACATGACTTCAATGTTTCATCAACTGTTTTCAAACTGATTTACATATTTTCCCCAGGTTGGAGATCTGGAATTTGACATGAGAAATTCCTGAGAGGGCACTTGAGTTTAATATGTCACAGATGAAGGCAAAGTTATCTAAAATCGAAAGTCTGGAGAGGGAGTTGTCAGACACACAAGGAGTTTTCAGGGAGACAAATGGCAGCTACCTGAAGAGTGCACCACGTTGTGTTGATCTGACAGACAAACACCATTATCTGCAGGGAGAAACAAACAGACTTAAGTCATGGACAGAGGAGGAAGATATTGGTGATGAGCACGCCCATGTTGGTGGAATGGGTCTGCACAGATGTACTAAGATCACTGACATTCGCCTGAAGTTACAAGAAGAAGACATAATGGCTGAGAAAGAAGATTTAATCTGGGTGGACAGCATGCAAAATGAAAAGGACATTGAACAATGTGAAGATGCAAATGTCAAAACGGGGAAACAAAATGAAGAAGAGGGGGAGCAAGAAGATGAGGAGGAGGAGGAAGCAGACTCTGAGGTGGAGGAAAAAGAAGGTAAAGCTAGTTTTTCAAAGCTATAATTTCAATGTCTCGAGGCAATATCTTTTAAAGATGTGGACATAATTATGAATTCTAATTTTAATTGCACCTTATTTCTGAAAAAAATTGAAGTTATTTAAAATTATGTTTTCATCAAGATCATCTCATGTATTGCTTCACCAAAATCGAAAAGATTAGTGTTTTTTACCTTTACGAGATACCTATGTTCTTGGACAGAAATAAACATTTGCTTTTTGCAAATGTATCAACTTCAGTTGACCATAACAGTGTTTGTCTTCAACCACAGTTTTGACAAGTAAACCCTGTGAAACCAAACCTCTTCTCAACACCGGAAATCCCCAGACCCTGGCCATGGAAGGAGTCTCCGCTTCTGGTTAGTTTTTCACTTCCAGCATCAGCTATAGTGCTGACAATACAGGGTCTTATCTCTAACAATGTCTTATTTGTGTACATGGCTCTCAAACATATTGCTATCGATATAATATCTACACCTGGAAAAAAGTTAAGCACCCCCAGTAACTCTTACAAAGTTGTATGTTTCTGCTAACATCAGTGCTGCACAGTACACTGGTAAAGCTACATGTTTTTCTGTAAGATCATGTCTTGACTACAAGAAAACACACAAAAGGACAGTTTCCTTCAACATTTTAATAATGGGTATGGCACAATACACAAATTACACGTTCTGGTTCAAACTGATACATGTTCCATGTAGGAGCTAGAGAGAGGATCAGGCAACATGGCCTGTCATTCATCATATTCATTGCAGAGGAAACATTATTGTCTCAAAGCTGTTGGTCTTTTGCTGCAAATGCTATATTTCACTGCCTCCCAATTCTTAAGCATCAATCAGTTACATGAAGAAGGCATTGGCCTTTATCATACCAATGTATTCTTGGCCAAGTGCAACCGATTCCAATGTTGCCTTGGTAAACACTAAGCCAAATGGTGGTGATGATGGCTCAGTAGAGGACTTTTGATGACCCATCCAGAGATGTACCCGGCTCCCCTTAGATGATTCCGGACTGCTCTTTCGAGGCTCGGTGAAATGGTAACCAGTGGTGCTTCAGAACAGTGCTTGTGGTGAATGGTTGTCATTGAGTGACCCTCAATAGTGCCCTCATTTGGTTTCCCGGAATCTTCAGACCAAACGACTGACAACTGTGCAATGAACATTCATTCCCAAACCATACCAGAATTATGCATACCAATAATTTGCCATCTCTGATCATCTGATCTTGTACCATAGTGACAGAAAAATGATTGAACATTATAAACCATGCAGGTTAAATACTGACATGTTTTATGTGCACAAGCTGCATTTTGTGTTTTGAAGAGGAGGGATACACACAGAAATCTCTTTTTCCTGCATGAGACAAAATGCAATATAAGGATTATTTAAACAATGTTTGAAAATTTACATCTATTTTTCCCATATTGAAAGTAGGAAACTCAAACTAAGTGAGTAATACTATGTCATTATGAAACTATGTAAAGCATATTGCATATACAAATGGTACAATAGAAATTGTTGGTTCAGATAGTTCAGATAACTAAACTGATGGGCTAAAAAATATATTTCCAGAAAGAGCAATGACTGTATATCATATGTATATGTTTTGAAACAGACTCCATTTGAACAATATTTAGGTTTTCAGTGAGCCAATGTGTGAGTGACTGAGTTAATACTTAGCATCATATCAACAATATTTCAGCCAAATCGTAAACAATTTATGCATTAAAAATTAATAAATTTAGAACATAAGAACCTGTCATCATTGGACTATAAAACTATACCAGGGTATCACAGATTTTTACTTTAAACTAATATGTTAACATAAAACATATCACTATAGAGAACAATACAATATAAAAAGAGGCTTGTAGATCACCAGCAACTGAAGCCAGATCACCATACTTGGGACCATGGGGACCCACTGTACTTTTGCTACCTGCTTGGACCCAAAATCGATTTACAGCATTCCCTCAGGTGTTGACGATTTTTGTGCAAATTCGCCATACATTAAAAGAATATATATTTTACAATTAAAGTCACAGTGAATGAAATATACTTTGAATGTAATGGGACTTACACTTTCAGGGAACAATTATTTTACGCTATTACAACCCACATTATTCATTCGTCCTAATTAAAACTTTAACATGCATTTACAAAATTTATCAATTATGAGACCTTATATATGTAAAAAGATCCTTCATTGATGATGATTTGAAATATTTATCATTAGCATAGGTAATGAGAGTTCGGCCGCATCCCCCCTCATCAAGCCCTTTCATCCCAATTCTACTCCACAGCCCCATTTGATACAGGTCAAATTTACCACAACAATGTCCGATGCTCCACTAAATTTCCAACGAAAATGTATTGAAGGGATATATTCCAATTTATTGATAAATAAATAAATAATGGATAAGATTTACTACTGCCCACATGAATATTGGAAAGGGACAGGGGTGATACAAAAACTCGCCCAACCCGCAAAGGTATCCGAAGATGTATAAGGATCGGTTGGAGAAACAAGCAATATGGCAAATATACTTGCCTGCTCCATGATATATGTAAAGGATAAAACACGACTCCGAGGTCTTGGTCGGGATTGTAAAACCCTTGAGCAGCAGGTACGGAGGGCTCCATCCCTGCTGCTCGAGGGTTTTACAATCCCGACCAAGACCGAGGGGGAGTGTTTTATCCGACTTTTGAACCGTCATGAATGTAAAACACAAATATGTATTATTTTTAATTTGTGCATATACTGAGCAGAACAACATTGATGGAACAGCCGGTGTCAACTGGAATGCGACTGGCAGCCAACACCTTGCCTCGCACACGCAATGCATGTGCTCAGCACGCACTACCCGTGTCCTGCACATGCGCTGCCCGCAGTACCCGTCTTGTGAGGAACACATTGTTCATACTGACAAATAATCTCATTCTTCACAGCGATCCTTCCTAGCCTAGTGGTTAAACTGCCAAGCTAGAGAGCAAAGGGTTGCGGGTTCGAAACCAGTTATTGCCACTATATATTGGAAGTTTTCAATGATGAGATGATTTACCATCAGTCATAGTTGTATGAATCATAAATAATAGTCATTTCAAAACCTCAAATCAGGTTAAATAACGACCATTTCAAAACCTAGGTTATGAAATGGTAGAAATTTAACCTGATATGAGGCTTCGAAACGTGTACTTCAAAACCTGGGTTTAGAAATGATCTGTGCAAAGTCACGGCAGAGGTCTACCTGATTCTGGAAGGAACCTACTTTACTGCTGAGAAAATCAGAGATAGGTTTATAAACCGAGGAGAAAGTTTGATATTTCCACGCCTAATGAAGTACATCAGGCCAACGTTTCTCCCACATAAGGTAAGATGCAAAATATATAAAGATGCTTTAACTGTCGTCTATGTGGCTAGTTGATACAAAGAGTCGCAGCTATTAAGCACAAAAGATTTGACTGGGGTGGTCAATGCACTGACCCCATTTGGTCCCTCAAAATGTATAGTATTGATCGGGTGGATATGAACTAAACCTTTCTTGTAGTACCTTAAGGATGGCCCACACTGGGGATTTGTGCGGGAAGAATTACTTATAGTACACAGTGATATGATATTACCTCCCAAGGCAGCCATACACGTAATTCGTACACCGTCATCAACAGTCCATTGCTTCGTATCCATGGGCGACAACAATGTTTTGTTTAACCTTATCCCGTATAGCCTATGCTTATCACTTCTCAAAGCATTCATTTCATGTTTGAACGTTCGACCATGGAATAGGGCCTCTTTGAATTGTTCGTGTTTTATTTGTGTAACATGGATGGCTCTGTGTTCACAACACAACACTGTTGAGGCTGTAGTCTGATTTTATTATGTGTAGTTTGTTTTCCACTAAGTGTATACAAATGTATATGAATATATAGTTCTCCATCAAATTATCTATTTCATCACATTCATTTCATGTCACATTGTTTTGATAATTAACAATTGCAGTACTAACACTGAACATATAAAAAGAACTGGACATCTCAAAATTAATGGTTCAGTTACATATTGAGCATGGAAATGCTAAATCTCACCAGTACAATCTGTTTGGACTTAAACATGAATCTGAATCAATTGTAACTGAAATGTTTGACATCAACAACTTCTAATCATAAGTCAAAGTATACATCCACCAAATGCATAAATTCAGCAACAATAAATACTGAATTAAACTTTCAACAATTAAACATATTTTTTTAGTTTATTCCTTTTATATAAAACCAAGTGTAACTAACCTGTAATTCACCAATTCACAATCTTCCTTCCATGACCTTCTAGCCACCGTGCCAGGTTGGGAGAAAGACAGCAAGTGAACATACTTCACACTTTCCAAATACATCTAACCTCAACATCCAATCAAAATGTTGCACATCTTCTGCCATTGAAAACCAAGGACAAGACAGCAGACCTGACCTCATTAATATTAGGCTACTTTGCATAGGAACTATTTTCGACCCATGACCCAGTGTTGACTATAAATAAATCATGGACTTGTGAAAATATAGACCTTTTCACTGACAATTGTATTATTGTGTAGGGTGTTATGAATTGATCCCAGAGAGGTAAATAAGACAAGACATATTAAAATAGATTCCTTTTCTAGATCATTTTACAATTTGTTTATTTTGTACTTATTACATTTGCTTTTTCACAACATACTTCTTCATGCCTTTAGCCTTTCTTATCTCACTGCAGCTGGCTTTTTAATGGAATACATTTTAGGTCTTAATCGGATGTACTCAACGGGTACTTTTTTATTGGCATTGCTGTAGAGGCTATGGTAATTGGGGTAATCGCTCGTATCACACATGTTTAATTTTTCGCCATGTCCTCGTACAAGTCCACGGTGTGAATTTCCATCAACAATGAATCGGTGTCGGTGTGTAACACCCTGCATCTGTCACCGTATAGCTCCTTGAGTTCATTGTAGTAAAAATCGTACACAATTGTTTTCCTAGTCTGGAGTTGAGTGAGCCCAGTGTGTGTGTGTGTGTGTGTGTGTGTGTGTGTGTGTGTGTGTGTGTGTGTGTGTGTGTGTGTCTGTCTGTCTGTCTGTCTGTCTGTCTGCTCTGGTTGGCTAACTGGCTGGCAACGGTATTTAATGATAGTTTTGGACCAGGTCCCTCATATCCATTGCTCCTGTGGGAGTAAAAATATGGTTGAATGATGGTCGACTGTCTCTCTCTCTCTCTATCGCCAGGTGTACAGCTCGGATCGATAAGTAACTCTCATTCGCTGAGCACTATCAGTGGCCTCCTTAGTGTGATGGTAAGTGAGGTGAGGTGAAATTGGATTTTATGTCGAGCTTGAG